CTAACAAAGACCACAGCAATGAGGATATAGGCTTACTGCGTGTGTCCTGTGAGTGACTGGATATAAAACCATCACAATAACAACAACAAAATAGATCTTGATGAGAGTTTTTTCTTTACTTCATTTCAAAATCAGAACAAGTTGTGGGGAGTGGGGATGGTGGTCTGGACCTGCAGAAGCTAGGGTTTCACACTCAGCTGTCTGGGAGTACTCAGAATATAAGAATACTAGAATAGCTGGTTGTCCCAGTCAGGTCAGTGGCTCCAGTCACTGAATGGAGGTCCTTGCTTAAAAGATCCACTGACTTCGCTCCACAAGATGGTCAGTCATTTATTGCACAATTCACATTTTATAAAACATCTCCTGAGGGCTAATCCTGTACATTGTACACAGCCAGCCTTAAACCGATTATTCGATTTAAAATCAGTTACAGGGACAAGCACACTTTAGTAAGTGATGCCTTTGTGTGGGCATATGGAATGATTACATCAATCAATATGATAATATTCAAGGAATATATCCTTAATGCACCACCTTTCCCTAAAAGCATCCCAGCTGGCCAGACAGAAACTGAATCAACATGTGGAGCAAGCTTTTTGCACTCTGCTTAGGCCCAAACTCTGCCCAAACCATGCAGTATCACAGTGTACACAGCCCTTCAGTTTTAAACCAGGATGCCCAAACAACCGAGCTACATCTTCACCAGAGGTTTACAGATGAAAACACATTTACTGATCCACACTATTGACACTTTGGTCATTCATGACGATGCAAAATAATAACAGTTATACCAGTGCTTTAACCAAATTGCTAAACCACAGATAACAGATTAAATGCAGACACATTCATACCATCCCATAAGGTTCTAATGCAATGGAAATGTTGTTTGCTACATACAAAGTATCAGTGAGTTTATAGAGGCACGGCAGGGGTTTGTGTTTGTTTTCAGAGGATGAGGCACTATTATACACTAATGAAAACATAGCTATGAATATTATATTCCGTTTCTGCCAGTAGATCCTCCTTAATGTTACACACTGAACCTTCAGTTTAATTCATTGACTTTGCTGCATGTCACCCCCCCTCTCTCCCCACTTTCTTGTCTCTCTTCAACTGTTCCCGTCAAAGAAAGCCCCCCTACAAAAAATCTTTAAATGCTAGTTAGGGTAAAAAGTTCACAAGCCAACATAATGATTCAATAACTAATGGTTTTATTTGTGTTGCACTAGGTAAGAGTAAAACATGAAAAGAAACAGAAGAGTGAACAAAGACATGGTCATTTGGGCGGGATGGAATTGAACAAACAGCAGAATATGTTAACACTTAAGTCACTGTGTACATTACTGTTCAGTCTTTATACACTAGTAAGTGTTTTTCCACAATATGGAGACAAATAAAAATGAATAGGTACATCAGTTCACATGTATCCTTAACACAATGATAAATTAAAAATAAATAGAATAAATAATAGGTCTAAAACAATACATCTGCAAACATACATCTTGTTTCATGTTTAGCATCATATTATCATTAACAAATGGATTGAAATCATCTAAAGTACCGCTGGCATACATCTGTCAATCATACAGCATATTAAGAGATAGTGTTTGATGTAGCTTCTACTTTTGGCTTTCAAAAAACTGCTGATCTATCTGATCGATGTATTTACTTATTAATAATGCAGTACATCTACCAGTGATTATTGATAAAATATATAATACATGTTCATGAGACAAATTGATCATGACCAGTTATTCCATGAGTACCTATTTTTGCAGATATTTCTTGTGTTCCGCACGGTTTAAAATGCACTATATTAAAGATATTATCAGGCCTTTTTTTTGTTGCTGGTCTTGATTCTTTTTTTTTCTTTCTCTGTGAGCTAAGATTTTTTAGCAAGAGTTGTGCCCAGGAAACCATTTACGTTGCAAGTGATTTCAAATCAGTCGCCTGCTGCTATTGTCAAAGTTGTTAAACAGGTTTTTGTGCCTTTTTGTCAAAAAATTTGTTTTTCACAGTGTTTCTGTGAATGAAAATCCACGTAACATTTTAGAATTGTCCAATCTTACCCAAAATGATACCTACTAGAGTTGTGAGAACATTTTCTCAGCAACCTACAATAACCAGCTGAATTTTAAAATACTGAAAAGCTATCAGACAAATATGATTGAATGAATATGATGAAGCATAGAGTCATCACACTGATGGTAGCCAAAATTCTGTCGTTGATGCGGGTTCAGTGTTCACTGTTGACTGTTGGCTTTCACTGTACTGATCTTCTCCACCAGCCTTTTCAGTTGTTTATGGAGACCCTTTGGTGAAACGTTCGGCTCATACGTCTCATTCAGCATACAAATCAATTTCTAAATGGAGAAAAACATGGATGTTAATGTTGTATATAAAGCTGCACTAATCAATATTTATTTTAATCTTAACAATGAATCAAATGTGTAATTTGAAATGGGTTGCCCACTAAAAAATGATCATGCAATTTTGCAACTCAGCATTTTAGCCTCTCATTGTTTTGTTTTCTCATGGACATTTCACAGAATCATTCACCTTTGCTGCTCTCATCAAATGGCCAACACATTAGCCATAACATCTTTATGAGGCCACAACATGTCAAGGCTTTCTGTGTGTAAGCTGGTTTTCAGAATCACCTAATACTGCTCTTTGTGTTCTAATGTGAGGGTTATAAAGAGAAAGTTGTCTTGTATTCTAGTTGCAAATCATAAAGCTGATCCTCTGGCTTTTGATTTATTTTAGAGAAGCAGCTGCTGAACCCGAACGGAAAAGGGAAGCGTTGCTATACATATAAAAACCTGTCCTTTAAGGCAATAACTGGACTTGTCAGCTAATTTTAAAGAACAGCCAGTCACCAAGTCTGTGGGGACTCTGACATCCACTGGTATATGCAGGGTACTGAACTGGTAATCTGTTATTGGTGGATCTTTGGTGTCAGGAGAAACAGTATTGCTAAACCTGAGCTGATCACACGCAAATCTGTTCTGTGTCTAGATGCCAAGCCTGAGTAATTTCTTTGTTATTATATTTACACACAAGCACAAATCATAAACCATGGTCACTTACCTTGTAATCCCTCCAATTATCCAGCTTTGTGATCAGCCACTGTTTAGATTCCCATTCGGAGTTCATGGATTGCAGGCCTTTAATGAAATAGTCAGGAAAGGAGTCACATCCCTGTACAGAGAACAGACATATCATCGTTAGTACACACAAATGCACTTATGACTATATTTTGTTGATAATAATATTTGGTTATTGTGCAGCTTCATTTTAAAAGAAACAGTCCCACAACTGACAACAGTTTCATCTCTGTGCAGCATTCAGTACTCAAAAGTCTAGTACTCTACAATCCTGTGGCTACCATTATGGGAACCAGACTGACTGTTTTTTTGTTTTTTTTTACCAGACTAGAATGAAGGGGAAAAGAAAAATATAACTGCATGTTATGACTGTCCGGTGTGTTTGGAACCTTAAAATGATAAAAATCATTGCCTCACAACAACTCTGAGCTTGAGCTTCATTCTTGACCTCAGAAAAAGGAGTTGAGAAAACAATTTCACTCTACAAGGTCCATTCAGGATCTGTTCTGGGCTTATCATACAATTTTAAAGGCCCAGTGTGTAACATTTAGGAGGCTCTACTGTCAAAAATGGAATATAATATTCATAGGTATATTTTAATTAGTGTATAATCCCCTGAATATAAGAACTGTTGTGTTGTCTTTACCTTAGAATAAGCCGTGGGCCACCTATGTGTCTACAGTAGCCCAGAACGGACAAAACAAACATTAGCTCGAGGTATATGGCCTTTTGCCTTTTTCCGCAAGTTTCATGGTCACCATAGTTTCTTCTTCTCCTTCTGCAATCTGCAACTTCACCACAAATCCTATACACTGGTCCTTTAAAGTTGTTCAAGTTGGAAGTTAAAGTTGAAGTTGAATGTATTTTTCACTGCTGACTGAAGGCTAGGCTTGCACTTCCCATTTGCTTCCAGTTATTTGTGCTAAGTTAAACATGTCCCGTGACTTATCTCTGGAATGACTCTGGGTAAGCTTTCCCAAAATGTCAGACACTTCACACTCCAGTAACACACATTTTAGATACGCTTTGTGACATAATATGTGAAGTGTGCACCAAGTGTCAGGATCATTTTCCATCCCTGACATTCATTGCAGACAACCATTTATCTCCCATTACGTTATTGATGATAATCATCTCTGTCTCACACACACACAGAAACACAAACCACTTACGTTAAGTGACATGCTGAGGTTGAGACACATGCAGTTTCTATCCTAAGGAGATAAAGAGATAATGTTAAAATGGTATCAGAGATTACATTCATTCAAACAGCTCTAAGGTCTTGTTTGTTTTAATCAATCCCTTAATATAACTTTCTTTGTCAGGAAGTAACTTTTACAAAGCTATAACCTATTTTTGTATACAATACAAATCAAAATAATTAAATTCATGTTAAATGAGATTATTTCACCCCAGTAGGGAGTGAGAGGTGGATCAAGACAGTTGCAAGGGAATCATTATTTAGCTCTGCACAGAAAATGTAAAGAGAAATGAAGAAACAGAACAATAATCGACGGGCTATGCAAGATGAGATAACAGCAGAGCAAAGAGGAAGTGGTAAAGATGGTGCTGAACTTGTGTGTGCACACTGCAGAATAGAGCAACAAGGTGCATAATACAGAGTGCAATCTTCACTCATTTTTCAGTCACACACTTAGTGAAAATAACATGGAAACTAAAATGACACTGTAAATTAAAATCATTCCCACCTCTTTCCTTCTTTTAATGTAACATTTACAATGTTTTCTCTAAAACAAGATGGCTGTGTTCCACTGCCATAAATACTATTTTGTTAAGAAATACAATTTGTGACATTTTAAGCACCCCTGCTAGAGTGAGTGCATTAAGTCAATATTTTTTTAAGAGATAAATTGACAAAATAGTGAAAAATATAATCCAGGAAATTGTTTCTCTTCCCCTTTCATCACAGCAATAAATTATATTCCTACACTGCATTCATGGAATCATTATTTACAGTGGTTTAGGCCACAAATCCTAGTGCTCTGTATAGGCATTAAATAAGAAAGAAATGCGCAAAGCACCACTGAATTCTCACTTTGGGATCAGAAAACATTTCAAGCCATAAAACAACAAAGAAGCAGATATAAAGTCAAAGTCAGAGCAACAGAAGATGTCAAGGGGCAAAAATGAAGAGCATCATGGAACACTTACAGTAATATGACTGGAGCTGCAGTTCTCCTGACATTCCTGTCAATCCAAACAAGAAACAAGGTTGAGAAAATTTTACCAGTGTCATCAGCATCAGCTAGTCAAAAGATGAACAGAATGATAAACAGAGTCCCAGCAGCAACAACTAATAGGCTGCTTGCCTAAAGGGCATCAACACACTGCTTTTGATTGCTTTGGTCTGGATTCACATCTGACATTACACACATACACACACACACACAATGAGTGAAAATGGGATTAATTAGGAAAGGTGAAAAAAAAATATGCAAGATTACTGAAAAGTCTTCTGGCTGCTCATCTTCTAGTTCCCAATGTTAAAGAGCTGATTACTTAATAGCCTTGATAGCGTTAATACGAGTGCTGAAGGTCAGAATATGTTTAACATGGCACAATCAGGAAAGCAATCGCTGAATCGTCTAAATTTGTCTTGTCCTTGCATTTAAAAGGACAACCACAGAAAAAGGAATACGCCTGTAACAAAGAAGTGATTTAATCTAATGACTTTGTTCTCAGCGTGAACATAAAGTACCACCAAGTCTGATGGCTCACAATATTATTTCCTGGCCTGCAAAACACTGTGTTGTATCTTATTAGAATTATGCCACCTTACCTTCACATTTTCACCAAACGTTTTCACAAAAGTGTTCATTTCAGACGTCTTAATGGACCTGAAGGATAATGTTGTTGTTTGAGGAAAAGAGAAGACAAATGGCAGCAGCAGTAGAGGCAGCATCCATGTAGAAGACCCAGTCATGGTTAATGGATAGGTTAGGATTACTACAGAAGCAAAGTGGACTGAGATTTTGCAAATCAATTTCCCAATCAATATTTTAATTCTAATTGTCTAGGCTGTTACTTCTAGTCCAGATTAGGTTACTGTTAAAATCCTGCCAATTACTTAAGTCTACACCTGCATTAGCTTTCTAAACGTTCTCTTGTAGATAGACTTGTTGCCTGTGCTCCACACCAGACGCTTTGTCAATGGATGGGTGTTTTGCAGCTTTTATTTGAACTAGTGGGGAATCCCTCCATTTTTTGTCCATGGTTTTATCAACATTCTCCCACACAGGACATCTTTACTCAACAGGACCCTGAGATGGTGGCAAAAGTGATACAGCATATGTGTTCTGATGCTAGCCACATATCAGTGAGATCTGACTGCTTATGACTGTTGCGGCATTTCCTCACCTCTGTGAAGACCTGGCCGTCACTGCACAGAGGAAAACAAGTCACATGCTTCATCTTCAGCAGCTTAACAATGACGTGAACTGAAGTTATGTTTGCATCCAGCCACTGTATCCACGGCTGGATATCCATGTGCCTGAGTATTGTACGGGCTCGAGGAGAGTCATTTGTGGATGCCCCGTAAGCGTTAGAACTCGATACACTATGTTAGGTAACACATGGCAATTTCTACAGCCTACTTAAAACATTTCAGTCAGAGACATGTTGGACTGATTATAAAAGGGCCCCTGGGCACAGACATGTTAAAGGCCCTCCACCCCTCCTACATACTGTAGGAGCAAGACACCCTTTCTTTCCATGCGCTATGCCGTTTAGTGGTAATTTTAGTCCATGTGGTCCATTTGCGTTGTTTGTTGTTGATTTGCGTCTTTGTGATTGTTTTGTGTCTCCTTTTTGTTGTTATTTGTCTCTTTTTAGGCATTTTGCATTTATTTGTAGTTGTTTTGTTACTCTGTGTTTATTTTGCATCTCTTTGTAGTCATTTTATCACTTTGTAACCATTTTGCATTTTCCTGTGGTTGTTTTGTATCTCTGTGATCATTTGATCGATTTGCATTTCTATTTGCAGTGGTGGAGTGGTGTCATACTATTTCACTAGTCTAGAGGTGGCAGTAAGATGTGCAGCGATGCACCAACAAACGGGAAAGAAAAAGACTGCTAGCAAGTAAACAATTCTGGATTTAAAATACTTCAAATTTGGCTTTGAGTTTAATTATACACATGATGTGTTTTGGTGAGTAACTCTGAATTGAAACAAAAATTTTCTTAACAATAAAACCCAGCAGGGCACCTTTAAATGACGGCCCTCACATCACCATCACAATCACACCAAAACTCAGTTTCTTTGTGAAGGAAAAACAGGAGTGTCTAATATTGGGTGCTGGTAATGGGACCATGGAGGGTTGCAGGTGGTGCTCAGGTGAGCAGTTGTCCTCGGGTCCCTACACTGGCCTGTTTCTATGTGTGATGATACATAAGCTGAGTCAGGGGGAACTGGAGCCCAAAGTGGATATCTTTGCTATAGCTGCTTGATAATATGTCATGTTAATTACCACACATGATGCCATCCTGTTAGGTCATTCTATTACATTATCCAGGAATTACCAACTAACGCAAATTGTAACTGTGTGGGTTCAAACCTCATACAGAATTCCACTGACAAAAAAGAAATTAATAAATGTGCTACGTTTTCCACCGTAACCTTTGTTCCTTGAGATAAAAAGAAGAGTGGAAGCGCTAATTTTCCCCTGTATTGTGCCAGTTGCTATGTGGGAGAAATAACAAGACCAAACTCAAAAAGGTCACTTTCTTTCTCTTGCAGATAAAGTTATTGACCAAAACAGCAAATCTAGCTTATTTCCACATCAAACAGTATAAGCAAAAGCTTTTCCCACATACTGAGGTAATAAGAACCAGTGCTGATCACTGCAGTCAGTGGGAGGCTCAGAAAACAACAGTGATGCAACAGATGAATAACTGTGGTGGTTTTCTTAGAAAGTAAAACCACCCTGCCACATCTGAGACTTGCAGAGTGCGGACACAGTGGGGGCGCTAAAAGGCTCATTTTCAGCTCGGAAGCTTAGTGCAGACAAGACCACTAGTGAGAAAGAAGATATCTTCAGATAAACTGTAATTTATACCTCAAAATGTGTCCTAATGAAATTGTGTCAAAAGCAAAAAAGTGTATGTAAAATGAGCAGTTTGTGTTGTTGTCTAATGGTTAGATTTTCATGTTGTCTATTAAATCCCTGTACACAAAGATATTATTACCTCTAAGTAGTGTACTTTGTAAACATTGAACATGAAAAGCCTTATAAAGGCAGTAAAGACTGCATAATATTGCACAGGTGTAGCTGTCATTCTGTACAGGCTCACATATTTGCATATAGGTGTCATTCTATTCAAACTGTGCTGTTGGAGTCAACATAATGACCAGAGTTTTCTGGTGTGCAATTAAATCTGTGCTAAATGAAACGTGAAACATTAAGAGATGCAAATCTCAACATACATGAAAGTAGGGTTTGGGTGATAATACTGATCCACTTTCAATAGAATCATATTGTGTCATGGTGTTACAAAAATCTGTTGACTATTTCTATTTTCATGCATTGATTGATACACAAATTTTTCTTTTGTTTGTTTTTTTTTCTTTACAAGTGATAAAATGTGTCTAATGTACATCACGCTGACCATCAATTTGATTATTTTATATGTGATTTTATTTGATCAGAAAAATATACATAATAATATTGTGATGTAAGAGGTCGGCAGATTGATACCTAAAGTATCGGATACTATCTTTTGATTTGAGTATCAATACTAGCAGCAGCCATAGGATCAAAAGTCAAGTTGCAAGTCTATTTTGATATTGTCAGATCGAGTCTAAAGACATTCAATTTGTGTCTCGAGTCTGACTCGAGAATTGAGAAGTCCACACCTCTGGTAAGAAATCAACTGGCTCAGTCAGATTATGGTGGAGTTAAAAAACCTCTTAGTCTTAAAAATCAGATTTTGACATTTCTTGCATGTACGTAAGTGGAAATTGTGACCTGATGATGGTGATACAAAAAAGGTCACCTGGTCACTAAAAACATCAGGATTCCACTTCAGGTTTGGTTTAAAATTCTATTACTACAAAAAAAATTTAAGAAACCTTATCATGGACCAAAGTGTTGGTCATGGTTCATTTTGAAGATTTATATCACAGAGGCAGTAGTAACTGACATGACATTTATAGGCTAAGTGAGGTTAACCTCACCTTCCAGCAAACCTGAAAATGATATTTCTAAATAAATACAAGGGATTACAAGATGAGTAAAAAGGCCAGATCTATTTTCTGAACTGACAGTTTGACTTATTGCACATAATCAGGAGATATGATCAGAGTTAGTTTCATTTCTGTGTGTCCAGGAGAGCAAGTGAGGTAAAACTGAGCCACCACAAGTTTCTGGCCTGCCAGGTTAGCAGGTGACTACACATTTTGGAGGTGACTTTGGAAGAGTAATGGAGAAAGACACATGGAAACAATAGAAACACAAGCGGCAAGCACATTTAAATTTGACAAAGTTTTAAAAAACATCCCATTTGTTGAAATTATGTGGCATAGCTCTCCCCTGACTCTGATTACTGTTAATACCATTTTAATATGTATCCGTAGGTATGCATTTTACTCTTCAGTGTTATATTACAAATTAACACAAAATTTATGAGGTATAGTGTGACAGTAAAAGTTGCAGTATAAGAGCAATAATTGAACAACAACCATTATGTACTGCCACTGTTACATTACTTTAGACAAAGTAATGTATGTAGTCTTCATATTAACATCTGATTGATAATGTAAAGGTGGGGTCAGTCTTTCTGGAGAAAAATAGTTAGAATGCCAACTGCTGTGTTGTGTGGCTTGGTTTCCCATTATGATGATATCAATGCGTCATTGTATCTGCCAATAAAGGCTTTGAAATTAAACATTAGCAATTTCTTTAGATATAAAAAAGAGTTTCCAAAATGGACATCAAAGTTGCTGTTTGCAATGATTGTTCAGCATTGGTCATTTCAACACTACAGATTTAATTAACCATTTTAAGAGCTGTCCTCGCAATCATAATGACGACTTAAAAAAAACAATGACGGCTAAAAAATATGACCTTGACTCCCCCAGGACCAAAGGCATCAATCAGAAACTCATAAAGTACTGCTCTGGAAAACCAGCTTTATTTGTTTGTGGGAGATGTCGGGATTTGTGGACTACGTTGAGTCCCACACAACATGATGACCAGTTATAGCGAGTTATACAGCGAGTATATTTCATGTGTGGCTAATTTTGAATGAATGAATGAATCTAGGAATCTTGTATTATTAATAGTAAATATATTATTGAGTATAAGCAACAGTCTGTAAAGCATATGTAGCCTACTAATGTAGGCTTCAGTTGGCTTTTAGTACTGTAAAGTTGTAAAATGTACTTACTCTCACATTATCCCTGCAGACCGAGATTACACTTGTTCTGCAACTTGTGACATAGGTCTATTAAAGCAGGATTTTACAGTTTGAATATGAATGTGTACATTTATTTATGTCTGCATCTGCCAGTGGGCCATCACGATAAGAGTAGCAATAATAACACATAACATAATAACATAAAATAACATTTTTAAATTTGATTTAAAATGTTCTCTGCAGTTAGGTTGAAAAATATGGACATATATCGGCATCTGCAATCAGCCAAAGCGCCGGCGATTCCTGACATGATGTAGGTTACATGTGCAATAACATCAATGTAAATCATAAATGTACCTTTTTACCAGATGACCGCTTGAGAAATATGATCCTATTATAAATGCAATTTTAAGAACAACAAAAGTATTTTAGCAGTACATTATGAATATAATATGAAACACATAATAAGACAGCCGCCTGAAGTTCCTGAAGAAATTCGATTTATTTAATATCATTTAGTTATTTATTAGTTACAAGATCAACATAAAAACAACACATCTCTCTGTCATCTTTCATGGTTTCCCTCTTCTCGTCTCCTCTCACCTCCCATCTTCTTCCTCCCTATTTCAGGAACTCACTTTTCAGACTCCCGTCACTGTCTGAGAAGTTGATCAGCTCCTCCACCTCATCCCCCTCCTCATCCTCATCCTCCTCCTCAGCTTCCCGTGACGTCTGCGCCTCTCCCTCTCCTCCTCCCTTTCCCCCCAGCTCCAGGTAGCCCTTGGCGGTTTGGTTGACTGCCCCGCCACTCTTTGGCCCGCCTCCACCACCTCCTCCTCCTCCTCCACCGCCATTAGCTTTGCTTTTGACGGGCTGAACCATCAGGATGCCCCCATCCAAAATGGGGGTCCCTTCAGGGCTGATTCCCTCCCCCGCTGGGTGGCTGGTTCGGTCTGCACTCAGAGTGTGAGCGCTAGGATCCAGGGTGACGGTGGACTTGCTTGTGCAAAGACCCATGATCAGTGCCTTCCAGGGGCGTCTTAAAAGGAGTGAATGTCTAATTCTGAAATTAGCTCTCTTTTACAATCCTTTCAGTTGGCTTGGGTTTGTCAAATCAAAGTTGTTTATAAAAG